TTTATGCTTTATGTCATTCAATCACAAACACACACAGGATTCTATTGTTTTTTTCACTTTGGTTTTGATTTGATTGAACCTTGTGTGTGTAACCAGTTTTGATTAATTCAATTTCGGTCTTTTTTTCGGTTGTTGTCGATTGTTTCCCTGCAGTTCAACAATTTTTTTTGATACAGTTAATGTTTTTTTTTCCAGCAGACAAAAGCTTTCGAATATTAAATTTGTCTGGGTGTGTTTGTGTGTGTGTGTGTGTGTATATGGGCTGGAATCGATTTGAAATTTGACTTTTAATTTGATTTCGTGAAATTTTTGATTCTGGTGCCTTTTCACTGACTGACTTTATATCTGAAACAAAATTGTGTTAACACTACACTAATTAGGCTACTTGTTATATTTTTGATTTCACATAATAGAAAGAAAATGTTTACTGGCAAATCAAAGACAGAAAAAAAAGGATGACAAAACAAAAAGTTGATTGAGTTGAAATAGTGTTTGTTACAACGATAATGTCAAACCAATTTTTTTACTGTTTCATAAATAATCCATCATTTTAAACATTATCATTGAATTTTTATGCGAAAAAAATTAACCCCTGTTATCTTATTATGAAGTTGATTCAAGTCTATGCTAACTGAATTTCAAAACCATTAGCCAATTACTAGCCTTATATGACCAACATTTGAATGATAATGGTGATGGTGGTTTAGTTTAGTGTTTGGGGTTTGCCTGTCACCTTTTTTTCTCTTTTTTTTAAATTGATCATTTTTATCGTACAAACATTCCATATAATTATTTATTTATTTGAAACTTTGAATAAACATTGAATGAATGATTACTTTGTTTCGAAAAACACCAAAAAACAAGATAGCGAGAAAGTGAACCAGAAATTTTGAATTAATCAAATTCTTTAGTTTTTCCTTCAAATCATTCAAATCAATCTATCCATCTTCATTCTAGATTTCAATCGATTCAAATTGATGTTTGTTTATTCTTTTAGGCTAAATAATATTCATTTGGTCATGGTCAATATTAACGGTTAATGATTTTCAAACATCAACAACAGCAAAAAACAAACAAACACGTCTAGCCTGTCTATCTGTTCAGAATTTTATTGAAAAAAGTCTTATTTTACTTTTTTCCCATATTTGATACATAGTATCTTTTTTTCTATATTCGTTCATTACTTTCTTTAAACATGACTTTTATAATAATGATGTTTTTTCAGTGTCTTCCCAGTGTTTCACATTCTTATTAATGAGAATGTTGAATCAAATTAGCGATTCGATTCAATAGTTTGCACACATCACACACACATAGACAAATTGATGAAATTTATCTTTTTTTTTGAAGATTATTATTAGTTATTCTGTATTTCTTTTCAAAACTAATTTTCACTAGATTTGCATTCATAACCGTTCCTAAGAAGTTCATTATTTTTTGTTTTCTCGGTTGAACTTTTCATTTCATTTTTTTCAAAAAAAACTAAATAATAAATTTAAAACAAACGAGAAAACTTCAATTTGTTTTTATTTTTTCGTTTGCGAATCAAATTTTTTTGATTCGGGGATTCCGAAAAAAAATAAAATAAAGCTTAGCTTTTCATTCATTTGTCAGTGAAACGAAAAACGAAAAACAAACCAAAATGAAAATATGATTTTTTGACGCTGAAACTGTCAGAATGTTTTTTGCTGCTGATCATCATCACCGTAATATTCTGTTTATGAATGAATGAATGCAAAAAAAACCCAGAAAAAAAACCAATCAACAAAGGATTTCCGCAACAATGATTTGAAAATTTTGTCATATTTTTAGTCCATTTCATAATGTTTTTTGTTGTTGTCATCATCAATGTGTCAGAGTTACCATTACCACCACCACCAAACAAATTATCACATCATCATCATCATTGGAAACTATGAAAAAACCGAAGAAAAAAAATCAGATTTGTAAATTGAAAAGATTCATTCAAAAGCAGCAACAATCGATGAATAAATGAATTTTTATACACTACTCTATACAACCATATAACAATAATAATAGGAAAAATCCATCAATCAATTAACCAGAATGTTTTGTTTTGTTTTCTGTTTTTTTTTTAAATATTCATTTCCAAGATTTTTCGTTGTTGTTGTTTCTGATGTTGCGGAAATTTGATTAATACTGAAAATGTTGATAATAACATTATCATCATATAGTCGGTTATTATAGTTCATTTGATCATTTCATCATTGCATCATCATTATTATTATGTAACAAAAAAAAGAAGCTTTTTTTATTCTTAGTGTTTTTTTTTTGTTTGTTTGTTTAGAATCGAAACAATTCATATGCTGTTCATCTTTTTTTTCGTTTTTTTTCTTGGTATCCATTTTAATCTCTCTTTTTTTCCTTTCAATGATATTCTTTATTGTTTTTTTTTCTCCACACATACACATAGTGTGAGTTTTATCTAAGCATATATAAAGATTACGTGCACAGAATGATTGACTGACCGACTGACTGACTGACTGACTAACTGACTGACTGACTGACTGTCTTGTCTTGTCTTGTTTTTTTTGAACTAAGTGAATGACCATCGCTCAGTAGAATTCAATAATATCCATTCTTTGCATGTTTTTTTTCTTGTCTTATCTTTTTTTCTCACATTTTCAATTTATCATCTTAATTTTTATTATCTTTTACTCACTATATGGGTGTGATGTTCATAGCATATTAACACCAGCTATAGCTATAGCTAACCAACCCAACATACATCAAATCAATTGACTTAAGTCTATTAAGGCGAGAGAGAGAGAGAGAGAGAGAGAGAGAGAGAGAGAGAGAGAGGGAGTAATCTTTTTAAATTATCTTATGTACACACACCAACACACATAGGCCATAGTTAAAAAAAACAACAACATAAGAATCCATAAGAAGCCCATTTCTCATATAATCAAATCAATTTAATTGAATTTTTATTTTTATTTTTTTTTTTAGTGAATGAAAAGATCATCATCATCATCAAAACAATATGATTAATATATATATTGAACGATTCGATTGCCGATTTTTTTTCTTGGTGAAACATTGATGATGAGATAATATGAAAAATGAATTTTCTTTGAAAACAAAAAACTTGGATGGAAAGAAAAGTTTCTTCTAACAAAAAAAATTCACATTCAAATTCATTCGAGTCTGTCTGCCTGTCTTGGTTTTTTTGATTCATTGCTCGAAAAGAGCAAATATTCAATGGAAATTCTTTTATCTTTATATTCACAGTTGATATGATTTTGCCTGGATATTGCTTTTCCCCTTCATCATTTTTTTTTTCATTTGTTTCATTTCGGTTAAGAATTTCATATCATTTCTAAATTCTTGTTGTTTTCTTTTTGCTTTCCTTCGGTTTCAATATCGACATATTTTTTTATTATTATTTTTATTATTTGGAATCCCTCAACAACAATTATTCTGAAAATAATGTTTTATCAATTCTTTTAAATATTCGTTTTGCGTTGCAGAATCCAATGATACATTTAGGCATTATATTCTTTCATTTCATTTTGTCTATTGTCTGCTTTTGTTTTGTTTTTTCTTTTCACACTTCTTTTAAATATGATTTTCTTCTTTCTCCACCACCACCACCACACGATGATGATGAATAAATCAGCAGATGTCTTTTGGTTCTATTCATATTTTCAATTAATTTTTTTAAATAAAAAATTTTTCAAACAATAAGTGTTTTTGAAGCTTTCTTTTCCACTTTGCAAAATTTTTCACTGATTCGTTGAAACAAAAGAAAATCACATCAAAAAACATCATTTTCTTTGATAATTCAATGAAATGATTGAAAATTATTGTTTCCTTTGAAAAAAGTTGTTGAAATCGATGTAAAGATTTAGAATCGATGGGAAAGAAATAATGATGATGATGACATTAATTTGTCGAAAAAAAGGCTTGATTGAGAAGGAATTTTTTTTTGAAATACATCTGGTGTATCATTACATGTATGAATCGATTGATGATAATGATAATGATTTTTTTCTTTTTTCTCTCGATTATTAAATCCAGATTGAAATCAATAAATTTTTCTTCCTATCATATCCTATGATTGATTGTGATTGATTTTTTGTTTTCTTGTTTATATATAGAAGCCACTATAGTCGAAATAGTTGAATGAACATCCATATTCATCAATGATGATGATGATGATTTTGATAAAGATAAGCCTCTTATAATTAGAAACAATCAGCTTGTATCTTGTTTTTCTTTCCATTCATTCATTCATTCATTCATTGATTCATATGTTTACATGGACAACAAAAATTTTGAAGGTCCAAAAAACATTGGATTCACAATTTATTACAATTTTGGATAAACCTTTTTTATTTTTCTCCCTCTCTCGTTCGGAAACTATGTGTATCGTTTGTTTTTTTTCCTATTCAAGACGATTACGATTTGGCTTTTTTCCTATAGCAGAATAATGTGTTTTGTGTGTGTATTTCATTTGCCCATTATATTCTGAATACTGAACGATTAATACTGCTGTGTTTTTCTTGTTTCTGTTACTGCTGCTGACATGTATTTTTTTCATATATATCATCACTATTGTTTGGTTAATTCGACATGAAAATCTCGTTTTGACACACACACACACAGTGAGACAAACACAACAAATAAACAAACAAACAAACAAACACAGAGAGATAATTTCTCTTTCACCAGAAAATATTCGATATTCGATGATTTTATTTAATTCTGCTTTTTTTTCTGCAACTTGAATTAATCTCATACTTGTTTATTCTTCTTGTTTTCTGATACCTTTTCTTCATTTTCAAAGATTCTATACATTATATAATTCAATCAGAAGAAATTTTACCGGGAATCGATATTTACATAAAGTTTTCTTTTATTTATTTTCTTTAAAATGAATAAATGTATACAATTTAACGAGAAACATCGACAGAACAAAAAAAAAAAAGAAAGGAAAAGAAATAGAAATTTGTATTTTTGAGTGATTCGTGTGTGTGTTTTGTGTTTTATCACAACAAAAAAAAAAAGTTAAAATTTTTGAAGCTCCTGTTTGTTTTGGTCAATAATCGTTAGATGTTTTGAGTTGAGTTGATTTGAATTGAGTTGATTATCTCATCGATTATCGTAATAATAAAATCGTTGATAATAGAAAATTTACGAATATCAATTTCCCATTAATAATATGATTATTATCGGCACTAGTCAGCGATTGATTTGGTTTATCGTACAATAGATTTTCATTATCATATCCAAAATCATCATCATCATCATCGTCATCAGCATCATCAGTATGATTTGATGAATGTTTACGTCCATGATTTGCACCTGATTTGATTGAATTTTTTCATTGCAAAAAAAAACATTGAAAATTCAAATTCAATCTTGTTATTTCGAATGAAAAAAACTTACTATTTTTATATCGGTTTATAAGAAGATTTTGTTCGTGTTGTGTTGGTGATTGAATTTCTGTTTTTTCTATGTGATTGATGATGGTTAATGATAAAAAATTTATCTAAAATCAAACCAATCAAACAAAAATACTTACCATAAACACGAATAAGGCCTTCTTTTTCACCTAAACTATTTTTAGCTAAACATTTAAATGTACCAAAATCTTCAATAGTTAAATAATTGATTATTAATCTCATTGTCGTACGAAAACCATGATATTCTTCATTTGCTTCATATTTTTTATTATTTATATTTTTAATTGTTTCAGTTAGATTTGATAATAAAGATCGATTACCAATAGATATTATTGTTGTTGTTGCTGATTGTTGTGTCGATGGATTAGCAATAATTGGTATATCGGTTGGTGTTATCCATATTGCAATTGGCCGTGGATATGCTTCACACATACAAACTAATTGTATTCTAGATCCCACACGGGAACTAATTAGTTGATTTTGAACACGAATTTTTGGTCGAACTGTCAATGGAAAAAAATCATCATTTTTTCGTTTGTGCGTTTGTCATTTCCATTGAAAATGAAACAAAATGAGAAACAATTTCAATTACCAGAAAAACAAAAACAAAACAAAACAAAAAATAAATCTCATTTGGCTTTGTTTCCAAAACCGAAAAATAGAAAAATACTTACAATTGACATGAAGTAAAACACGTCGACTAATACTAGGCTGTACACCATTCGAAGCAATACATAAATAGGCACCCATATCATCTGTCAAAAAATGTGAAAATGAAAATGAAAATTAATAATAATTTTAGCATGCAATTAATTTTTTTCTTTTGTAATTTTTTTTCCATACCTCTTGTTACTTGTGTTAGATTTAATTGACTACCTTCGAATGTTTGAACTGTTTTTTTTGTGTGTCGAGAATTGAAAAAAAATTGATTAGATTTTTGATCGATATCCTAGGATTCAGGAATGATTTTGGGATTTTTTTTCAAATTTACCTGAATATTTTTGACCACCAAATAATCCAAGATTAATTGGTTGGCCATCTTCACGGCGCCAACTTATTTTTGGTTTTGGATAACCTTTTGCTGAACATTTTAAAACAGCTTTTTGATGTTCATCAACGGTTGTATCGGAACTTGTACGTTCTTCATTCAATATTGGTGGCACTATTTGATTGATTGATGAAATATTGGGCAAAGAAACAAAAATATGATTGAATTAAACACCAGAATTATTCATTAAGTTATTGTTGTTTTTTGGCATACCTTGTACATCTAAATGTCCAACCTGTGATATCATATTTTTGGCATTCACCTGACACATATAATTACCACGATCAGAAATACGTACATGTTTTATATGTAGGAACCATTGACGATCACTATTCTGTGTAACACGATATTTTCTTTCACCAAACAATGTATCCAAACCAATTGTTAATACAGTTGGTTCAGAATTGGATGAATCCATTTTTAGCCATGCAACTTTATATGGACCTAAATTTTCAACCGAACATTCCAATAATGCATTACGACCTAATACTGTTGTTGAATTTTCAATTGGTTTTGTAAAATATGGTATTATATCTTGATTTTGTTGTTGTTGTTGTTGATGATGGTTATGATGATGATGATGTTTATGCTGTTGATTACTAATCGTTGAATTCAGGCTATTCGAATGACAAACTATAGTGTAAACAAAACAAAAATCCATAATGATTGATGATAATCATCAAAATACACAAAGAAAAAAATCGGTGACAAAATGTGACTTACATTCTAATTGATAGATTAACATTATTATTGTTATTATTGTTTTAAATAAAATAATGATTAATCGTTTGATAATCATGATTGGTAAAAGACCCATAATGTAGATTATAAGTGTAGCAATTTTGTTTTGTAAATGATCAATGATTTTCACTGATAATTATTCATAAATTTGGTTTTTGCATCATCAATAACAAAGTTTTTTGTTTACTTTCGTAATGATTCTGACAAAATTTTAAATAGAAATTTTCACACTAAACCAGACACATTTCAATGATGGTTCAAACATTCATTTGCAAAATAAAATTTTCGAAACATTGATGAATGAAATTCTTTGTGGTGATAGTCTTTGAATATTTGAAACGAAATGTTTTTTTGTTTTCAATGTCCATTTCACAATTGGCAGAGAAAAAAAATGAAATTTTTTTTCTTCAAAAATCAATAAGTTTTGCATAAGAAAATTTTGCATAAGTTTTGAACATCAAGTAAACACACTGAACAAACACCGATAGCAAACAACAAAACAAAGTTTAAACATGGAAAAAGATTTCCCGCTTTTATCAAATGTTTTTTTTTTTGGAAGATTCAAGGAATCACCACCAAGTGAAACAAATTCCAATATGAAACTGAATTGTAACCAACCATTGATGCAATGTTTTTATATGAAACCTAACAACAACAACCCCCTCTCACATCAACAACAATCTATCAAGTGATTCAACTCAAAACGCTATATAATAACATTTTTTTTTCTTTTTTTTTGGGCAAATATTTTTTGGATCGATTCTATAGGATTCATTTCATTTTCATTCGAAAGTTCATCAGTTGATTGAAATAATCAATTCTACTATCCTTATGGAAGAATCATTTTAGGGATGTGAATGATTTTGATATTGTCATTATTATGTTTTATCATCATCATTATCATTATCATACAAAAAATGATTTGAAAATATTCAAGTTTTTTTTTGGGGGGGCCCGATGAACTTTAACAACAACAACAACAACAACAACAATCAATGTTAAAATGTTTTGAATTTTTCTTTTTTTTAATATATTCTTTTTCTGATTGTTGTTGTTGTTGTTGAATGAATGAACGAATGCAAAAAAAAACATAAATTCAATACGAATCGAATATTGTATCAATATTGACATACCTTTTTTACTGTTGCCGAATTGTTATCATCATCAAACCTTTTTTTTGCACAGGCTAAATTAAATCAGTGAGAAAAAGAGAAAAAGAGAAAATATCATAATACTTAAGTTTTTTCTTCATTCTTCAAGTACGTTCGTTTTGGTCCGAATTCAGTCATTCTCAATACAATTTGATTGATAGAATAGTTTTTTGTTCACTGTGAATCAATCAATTCAAGCCGAAAGCAATGATTTTAAAATGTAAATGATGTTTTTTTTTTTTTTTGAAAATATCATTATGACCGTAACCGTTTTAGACAGAATCTTTTCAAAAAGTTCAATTCAATCTGATTGAAATATTAAAAGTTAAATTTTTGAATTTTTCAATCATTCATCAGTACAATCAATTAATCAATTTTTTTTACCGAATTATCATTCTGTTAACCTTCAAAGTTGAAAAAATTTTCAACTTTTTTTTCTGTTACATGATTAAAATTCAATCATGTAACAAAAAACGAAAATTCAAATAGCAAAAAGAATTTGCTGTCTATAACAAAAAGTTTGATTTTGTTGTATGGGTTCGATATATATTTGCCTTAACAATATTGATCGGTTTTCTTTTTCTTTTTTTTCCATTCAATTCATTTTTTTTCTCAACAAAAGTTTGTATATTCCCCTTGTATATTCTGATCGTACAGAAATATTTAAAAAAAAAATCGAAAGGAAACAACGACAAAGCCACACATTTAACGATGATCTTTTTGCTGCACCGATCATCATCATCATCCTGGATGTCGATGACGATCATCAACATTATATTTTACAATAAACAGAATTTTTTTGTTGTTATTATTCCGAAATGGTGAAATATTCAAAACGAAGAAGAAGAAGAAGAAGAAAAAAAATGTTTTAAAGATTTGAATGCAACCATGAACTTTGTTCACATGATGAAAATTTTTCGAAAATATTAACGAAAAAAAAAACAGAAAAAGTAAAAGTGAATATTCAATGTTCAATAATGTTTTGTTGTTGTTGTTGTTGTTGTTATTGGTATTTGTATTTGTATTGTTGTTGTTGTTGTCATACAATTTGTTGTTGTTGTTGTTGTTGCGAAGATCATCAAATCAAACGACGATGAATTTTCTTATTTTTCGTTTTTCTCTCGTTTATGTATCTTTGGTTGACTAAGTTGCTAAGCTAACCAAGAGAGAGAGAGAGAGAGAGAGAAAGAAAGTCAAATTCAAATGAATTGCCTGAATATAAATCTAAATATCTTTTCCGCATTTTCATGTCTTTCTCTCTCCACCATTGATGATGATAGTGATGTATTTGTACGCGTTTTTTCTTTCATTATTTGTTCTTCGAAAAAAAAGATTTTTGAATTTTTCAATCTTTGGATCGTTGGATTTGTACCAAATGAAGAAAAAAAAAGATTTATTCGGGCAAAAAAAAATGTTAGCCTAGGAATCGTTCACATTTTTATTTTTCTGGAATCCGTTTCTCGATAGATAGAAAAATTCTCATACACTTTTCATGTTTCGATTTTTTTTTCACTTTACTTTTTTATTATTATTTGAAACTATCAAAAAGCTATAGGATTTTTCCATCATATCCTCTCTTGCTTTTTTTTGGCAAAATGAAATGAAACGATCGTTACATGTCGCGTTGTTTTTTTTTTTTTTTTTTTTTTTTTTTTTTTTTTCTCTTTTTTAAAATTTTTTTTTTTTT